TTTTTTTTTTTTTTTAGTTTTGAGAATGAAAATTATTAAACTACCCTTAACCTTAAAACTTAGAATCCATGATATATAAGGATATTTTTGTCTACTAAAACCCGGTACACATTGCTAAAATGTACCAACTGAAAAACAGGCGTACGCGGTTAGCAAACTCCATATATATATATATATATATGTGTGTGTGTGTGTGTGTCATGAAATATAAACATTATAATATAAATATATCGTAAGAGTATATTAAATAGGAATAAAAATCATATTTTAGTTTTTTGAAAAATTTGTTGGATGAAATTCTAGTAATAAAAAAAAGATTAAGAAATTTAGTAAATTTCTCACTAGAGAAATTTTGCGATGCTAGGATAATTTATTAAAAAGATCTTACAAATTCGTAAATTGAATTTATCTACGATGTAACAAATTTCTCTCAATAAAATAAAATAAAAAAACTCAAATTGTGACAAAAATCAATCATTTGTTTTATTTTAATGAGTTAAATATGTTTTTCGTTCCCTTAAATATCACACCATTTTAGTTTTAGTCCCTAATCAAAACTTTGATGGTTTAGTCCTTATAGTTTTGAAACTTTTACTATTAGTCCTTAAAATTGAATAACGTTAACTTTTGTTTGACGTGCTAACGGCCAGTCCACGTGTCATGTCACCTGACTACTTTTAATTGACGTGGCAGTAAAGGTGTGGTGGTTGGCATGGTGGTCTTTACCCATAACCGTTCGGTATTTTCCCAACACGTTCGGTCTTTCATATATTGCACTCCACCCGTCACCATAACTGTTCGGTCTTTGTCCATCAAAGTTTCGAGTAGGGACTAAAACCAAAATCGTGTGATACTTAAAGGACGAAAAACATATTTAACCCTATTTTAATTTAGTACTAAAAACGCGTAACATCGATAAATATATATATATATATATATATATCCAAATCAAAATATAATATTTTCAATATTTAATACTCTTTTAGCAAATGATAAAAGTATAAAATATAATTAAAATAAAAAGTGCAAATTCTATTCACACAATTTCTACTATTTCTACTGGCACTTTTCTCTTCTCGTATAACATAAACATATAAACAAATAAAATAAAAATTAATATTTTGACACATAATTTTTTTATTTTCATTTTTTATACTGCTCTTTTTTATTTTCTACTCTTTTATTTCTTTAAAAAATATAAAAATTTATTCTTATCATTTTATCATTGTACTATGTATCAAATAAATGTAAAAGTGTGTTACTATATCATTACTCAACAAAAAAACACAATAAACTAATGCTATAATAATAAATTAATAAGATGTACAATTATGTTAGATAAAGAGAATCTTAAAAATTTCAACTATTCATTATATTATTAAAAAATCAAATGTCTACATTAAACATCTCTTGAGTTACATACATATAAGATCCTAGTGTAATGATTCAACATACATTATATTGAACACACTTAAAGATTTTGTACTTCACACATTATCTTACACTTTTACGAGTATAATCCTGTTAAGCAATAAACTAAGACTAAAGTCTTTCATCAAGCATGACAGGATAAATTCATTATATATAAGATTTGATCTTATTTCATATCAAAACATCAGATTGTAGGAACCTTTATCGACTCTCACCACCAAATATTTCTCCTATTTAAATTTGATACTAACGTAATCATAACAATATCAACATATCATATCCTATTATATTTTTAACTCAAACTCAATATAACACTTCTTTATAGATAATTACTATATCGTTATTCAATCTCATAATAATAGTTCGTTTATAAAATATTTCATCTAAATATTCTAATTGACCACTGATAAAATATTTAGAATAGTCACTAGACAACTCATTTTTAGAAATAAAATACTAACTAAATAAGTAAATTTTATATTTAAAAAGAAAAAAAAAGATTAAAAGATAAACAAAATAAATGTGAAATAAAATATAAATTTTATCTAAGTGTCAAAATAACACGGTTCAAATAAAATAATTTCAAAACAAATAACTTATATTAGAAATTAAAAGTCTCTGTTCAAATATAAAATTACTATAAATTTATGTTAAAAATAATATTCACACCAAAATCTCCATCTTACAATATTTAAACATGTAAGAATACATTTCAATTAGCCTAAATTATCAAATCTAACATTTGTCTTATATACTAAATTCAATTTGACCACTGACTTTTGTTGTTTAATTCCTTATAGTTAAGAAAAATTAAAATCACGATTCCGTTAATAATTTAAACATATTTAGAGTAAAACAGACATGAAATACAATTTAAAAAGCATTTATCCTATTTACTAATATGATACTTAAAATTAATTTTATTAATAATTAGTATAACAGTTAAAATCGGTACTATATTATGTAATATTTTTTTTGTAATGTTTTTTGTTTTAATTTTCATCATATTTATATTGATAACGGAAAATAATTTTTTTGACTTTTTTTTTTCAAATATAAAAGGTTAAATTATTTTTTTACGTAAACAATTGCATTAATTCTTTAAAAAGACAAAAAGGTAAATTCAATCTAATCTATAAAACCTATATAAAATAAAGAATCAATTTGATATTAAATCCTATTATATTAACTGATTTTTTCCCAATTCGAAAGGAAACCCTCGAGTCGCAGGAATGATTACTGAAAGAGGAAAAGGGAGAAAGATTGTAGCAGAAGCTGTGTTCATAAGCAAAACAAATTTCATCTGAGTGCGTCAATTTGCTTTGCTCTGTGTTCGTCTGCATCACCACCTTCTGCTTCTACATCGCCGGTGTGCTGCGATTTCCTTTTCTGCGACTTTGAGGTACAGGACAATGATTTTCAGTAATGGGAACCTACTTTGGTTTTGATCATTATTAATATTGCCGTTGTTTGTTCTAGGGTTCAGCTGTGTTGAAGTTCAAACCCTAGCCTGCGACTCGTGGTTCAAAGGAATGGCCTCATACAGGCCCTTCCCTCCGCAATCGAGTCAAATTCAAAACCCTATTCCAAGTGGGAATCATCAGTATACTAATAATAATCAAAATTGGGGTGCTTACGGAGATCCCTCTAATGCTTCATTTCCCCAAATCCCTCCAAATTCCAATTATCACCATCAGCAACAACAACATCAAAATCAACATCATGCTCCGTATGCACCTCCGAATCCCCATCACCCTCGCTATCCATATCCGCCACCACCTCCACCGCCACCGGAGGCTTCATACCAGCCTCCGCCGCCGCCACCTCCTCCCGTCTACTATCCCCCTAATAGCCAGTATAGCAACCAGCCACCTCCGCCACCGCCGCCGTCGTCGCCACCCCCCCCACCCCCTCCTGTTTCACCCCCTCCTCCTCCCCCGGCAACTCAGAACAATGAAGAGCGGCGCTTCAAGGACCCTTCCACGTCCGGCCGCCGCGAATATGATCCTTCCAATCATGGCATTGCTCACAAGCAGCACAAGCACCAGCCTCCCGTGCCAGCAAAAAAGGTGAACGGGCCTCCTGGCAGAACTGAGACGGAGGAAGAAAAGAGGTTGAGGAAGAAGAGGGAGTTTGAGAAGCAGAGGCAGGAGGAGAAGCATAGGCAGCAGCTAAAGGAGTCCCAGAACACTGTTCTGCAGAAGACTCACCTGTTGTCGTCTGGGAAGGGGCATGGCATGATTGCAGGGTCTCGATTGGGAGAAAGGAGATCCACTCCGTTGTTGAGTGCCGAGAGGGTGGAAAATAGGTTGAAGAAGCCCACAACATTTTTGTGTAAGCTCAAGTGAGTATGTCGATATCATTTTATGTTTTAGAGTGTTTTTTCAATTCAATTTACATTGTATTGGTGTTGGTAATGATCCATAAGGCGTGCAAATGTTATGTTTATTTTTTGGATGATGCCATCTAGTCTGTCATGCTTATTTCTAATACTGACGCTTTTTCTTTGTGTATTCTCATTTAAGATTTCGAAATGAACTTCCAGATCCAAGTGCTCAACCCAAGCTTATGGCTTTCAAGAAAGATAAAGATCAGTATGTAATCTTACTGGCATTTAACATCTGTAGCTAGGAAAGATACAAATCAGTACGTAATCTAATGGTGATTTTATGATTGTTGGCAGATATGCAAAATATACAATCACATCCCTGGAGAAAATGTACAAACCCAAGCTTTTTGTGGAGCCAGATCTAGGGATACCTCTGGACCTGCTTGATCTCAGTGTTTACAAGTACTGTCCTCTGTTCCTTTTGTAAATTTTAATACTTGAATGAATTATGCGGACTGAGAAGGTATGGTGAACCTTTTTATACAGTCCTCCCAGTGTCAGACAACCTCTTTCTCCAGAAGATGAAGAATTGTTGCGGGATGATGAAGCTGCTACACCTATTAAAAAAGATGGCATAAAAAGAAAAGAGAGGCCTACTGATAAAGGTGTAGCGTGGCTTGTCAAAACACAATATATATCTCCTCTAAGCATGGAGTCCACAAAACAGGTATTACGCTTATATATTGACATGATGATGCGTTACACTCTACAAGCAATAAACTTATGAACGTTTCTGTAGTCTTTAACTGAAAAACAAGCTAAGGAGCTGAGAGAGATGAAGGGAGGCCGTGGCATTTTGGACAATCTAAACAGTAGGTAAGTATATTCCACCATTACAACGTCAATTGTCGGCATGTGGATTACTATGTGAAAGTAATTTGTATCTTCTAACTAAAATTGAAATCTCTATTTTAGGGAAAGACAAATTAGGGAAATTGAAGCATCGTTTGAAGCAGCTAAGTCTGATCCTGTTCATGCAACGAACAAAGATTTGTATCCTGTTGAGGTTATGCCATTACTACCCGATTTTGATAGGTACGACACCATATATAACTTCCAAAAGTAACATTATTGCTCACCCTGGTGTTCTATTGATCGGTCTTTTATATTTGTGATATTAAAGCCTAATCTTTTGATTATAGACGATGCAAACTGTAAGACAGCATTCATATTTCATAATAACTAAAGCTTCCTTCTATCTACTGACCTCTTTGCAGGTATGATGATCAGTTTGTTGTTGCTGCATTTGATAATGCTCCCACGGTCGATTCAGAAATGTATGCTAAGTTGGACAAATCTGTTCGTGACGCCTTTGAATCAAAGGTAAGCTTTGCAAAGATGAATGTATTAATGTAAAAAAGGAAACACTGTCACAAATTGTCTGCAGGGTTTCATACATCATTTGTTGTATTTTCTCTAGTAGTTTTGATTCAATATGTGGTGGAGCTATCTAGCATTGAAAATTCAATTTTCCTTTGTTTTTCAATACGATAGTACTGCCTAAATTACCAGTTTCTAAGCTACCTGATTGTTGGTCTTTTGGTTCTGTATGCGTTTGAAAGTAGCCACTGATGAGAGATATCAAGTAAATAATATTTTGGCTCCTGTGACTAATGGTGCCAATTGCTGAATGTTGTTAGATTGATTCCTATCCATTTTGTGGCTTGCAGGCAGTTATGAAGAGTTATGTTGCAACGAGTTCAGATCCTGCTAATCCTGAAAAGTTTTTGGCATATATGGCCCCAGCACCAGGAGAGGTAAGCATTAAATCTATATATGGATTTCGAATTTGAAGCATTAGTTATTGTACATAATTATGTATTAACTTCTGGAAATGTCTAAAATTTGTGATGGCAGTTGTCAAAGGATATATATGATGAAAATGAAGATGTCTCGTACTCTTGGATTCGCGAGTATCATTGGGATGTACGTAGAATCATTTTAGTAGTTCAAAGACCATAAAATTACATAATGATTGGCTTTAAATTTGCATAACTAATATAAGTCGTTAACCCTTTCAATGTTAAATAAATTCCCCCTTTTAACCCTATTCTGACAATTTTGTATCATCTTAATAGGTTCGGGGTGATGATGCAGACGATCCTACAACATTCTTGGTTGCATTTGATGATTCAGAAGCACGTTACTTGGTATTTCCTGGAGCCTTTATCTGTCTTTTTAACTTAAGGATTGGAACATAGTTTCTTGGTTACACAATGTCGATCTTTTAATTTTATTGTAAATTTGATATGCAGCCTCTTCCGACTAAACTTGTTTTAAGAAAAAAGAGGGCTAAAGAGGGAAGATCAGGAGAAGAGGTTGAGCAATGTCCAGTACCTTCAAGAGTGACTGTAAGACGGAGGTCTAGTGTCGCTGCGATTGAGCTGAAGGATACTGGGGTATTGCACTGAATTTATCTATTAAGTTTGTTTGAATGCATAAATATAATTTCATATATTTATAATGCTTTAAAGGTTTATACAAGTTCAAAGGGCAATTCCTCAAAGAGAGCTCGTCTAGACATGGACGATGGTCTAGAACACCAACATAGAGGTGCTTCACACCAGGACAACTATCAGTCTAGTGGAGCTGAAGATTACATGTCTGAGTGATTATTTAATGCAAATGCTGCCGCCGGAAAGCAAATTGGTCCAACGAAATGGTTGTTGGATGAGTGGCTGCAGAATTTTTCGTGGCGCCTTTGTGCTTCAATGAAGAATACCAACGACAAATCTCATTTTTGTATGACCATTTTTAACTTGATGCACATACATTCAGAGTGTAGGCAGCTGTTGAATTAATATAGATTTTCTTTTCAATACCATTATATTAGAAAAGATTGAAAAATAATGAAGTGTAAAAAGCATGTGAGACCAAATAGAATCCCGTTATTGCTCAGTGTTAATCGTGACCTGCTTGCCAATGAAATCACAGCCTATATAATGTTGTGGCATTCTGATTCAGACATGTTTGCTTTTGTGCACATGATTGATGTGATAGTTTTATCAAATGGTGAAATTTGAGTGAGGTCAAACAATGACTGAGTTCGCTGATGGATTGCCAGTAAAAAGTATTGGTCGTGCCATGAGTTGAAGGCGGGTTTCTGGTGTGGAGATCATTCTACTATTGGCAAGTGAAGACCGCCTCCAATAATTGTCGAATGGGAATTAACTTCAATAGTTTTAGACAGCTATTCATTATTTAAAACACAAATGAATAGTTGATAAGTGGCTTGGGTATCGTGAAGGTGAGAATATAATTAGCAAAAGTAAAATTCAGAAAGGAACTTCAAAATTTGTGACCTGACGATGCAAAATCACAAGGACGAAATGAAGTTGCATTTTGGACGTTTTAAGCTGTAATATCGAAACAAGCTACATTGTGAATGGGAGAGGCCAAGTAAGCAATTTAGAAACAGCCCTAAAAATTTGCTTCCAAGTTAAACTACATATGCTCACTAATCCAACTTTAGTAAGTAGAGCCAAATTTATGTTTCTAGAAACTAGCAGTCACAAGACCCTAACTAAATTTCTGAACATGGATTGAAATATTATTTCTGTAGTTTTTATAAACCCTAACTTAATTTGAAAAGATCAATGGTCTATAGAATTAACAAACCACAATTTATTTCGGATAAGGAATTATTGAGAAACACTGTAATTAATTAACCCTAGACTAACAACCCTAGTTTTAGAAGACTTTTATGAAGGTTCACCACTACCATGTCAAACAATATATAATAATAGAAAAAGTTTTAAAAAGTAATACAAAATAAACTTTTCCATAAATTAATTTGTAACGATTCTTTTATACTAAATAAAATTACATAGAATAGTGATACAGAGAAGCTTCATCATAGAGAAAATAACAATGCTCATTTGGCACGCATTGCCCGTAAGTACATGAACGAATTCTTTGCTACAAATCTTACACAACATAAAGGAGCAATTACAAGTCAAAATTTTCTAATGAGATTATATTTTTGCTCATATCTTGACACCTTCATATCTTTAATCTATTCATCACAGGAAGCTTCTTCCAGTAGGTCAAGAAACCCTTTGTGGGCACTCTTTTGATCTGTGGGTAACTTAGGTTGACACCCCCAAGTGGACGCTGCCTCAAACTTAGTCCATAATTCCCTTTTCAGAGTATTTTCACCAGGTCGTTTTCCAGTTTGAAATGAGCTTTCAGGCATGGGAGTGTTCTCTACGTGTTCTAAGCTCCCAACAAAATGACCTGCACAGAAGAGAAAAATAACAGCTATTTTCATGCATGAAATCCATATCCAGTGTTAACCAACGACTGCAATAAAGCCATATTCGGGTAAAATTCTCAATAAACATTTACATGAGTGGAAGATAAAAAGTAAGATGATTTGAAGTTCCTCTCATAAGCCATAATCTAAAATCAACAGATACAATTCAAATTTCATAAAAGATGCTCTGTTTAACTTTTTGAAAATTGAGATGGATATTTTTATTTTTATTTTTATTTTCTATGTTCTCATTGATAAACGTATCCAAACAACACGAGCAATTCCAATAAGCATTACCTCGGTTACTATGATCTTTGCAAACATCACCACCATCACCATCTTTACACTTATCGACTTGTTGATTAAGAAGGTTGGCAGCTACGTGTACACACAAGCGATCATCAATATTATCATCAGGTGGCTCCATCAAAACGCATGTTTTAGGAGGTGAGGTAAACCAATCCGGCGATGCTTCCACTGTTTTGTTTCCAATTCCTGCCTTAGAATCGCGGCATATCCCAAGGAGCTCCGGATACTTCAAGGATAAATCCGGCGAAGAATCATCAACACCAGAAGATTCAGAGTCACTGTAACGCGTCCCAACAGGATAGGGAGTGCCCTTGCGAAACTGGTGATCACCCAAATGCTTCATTTCGGAAATAGGTTCGAGCAAAAGGCAGGATTTGGGAGGGGACATTTTCAGGCAGGGAGTCATGACAAGAAGCATGGATCCCTTGTCTTGGTTGTTTGACAGTTGGTGCTTAATTGGGGTTGGTTTGACTACTACATTGTCCATGAAAGCAGTGGCTAATGTGGAAGGAGGGAACTGAGGATTAGGTTGTTTGTGGTGTTTGGATGATAACGGAAGAGGTGTAAGCATGAACATTTGTCTACCTCTCTTCACAGTGCAATTGGCACGCCAGGACACAAGCGGTGAAGGAGACACCAAACTTAAGGTTGTCTCTTCAGGACTATCAGACGCTCTGCTTTCATCATCGTATGATTCTGTCTCTTCTTCCGTGTGTAGTGCAATTTGAAATTTGGGGACCCACGACTACAATTAGAGCAAAGCAAATTAGAAAAAAAAAACACTAAAATTAAAAAAACAAAGAACAGGGTGGAGTAAGGTTTCACCTTCAAAGAAGAGAGCATGTCAGAGAGGATTCGGGAGAAAGATTCAATTTGCGTTTTGTCATCTTCGCTTATGTCATTCTTCTTCTTCTTCTTCTTCTTCACATTATTATTATTGACTTCAATGGCACGCACGACAAGCTCATCAATCTGCGAATCCAATAATTAAAGTATGGATTTTGATAATCAAACGTTCCCAAAAATTGGGCGTTAGGTTAATAAATAATGAATGGTTGCATTGGTTCTCTGGTATTTGAACAGATTGAAGAATGAAATTTTGTTAGTGTAAAAGGATTGAATTGGAAAAAAAGAAAGGTTAGAGTATGACGCACCTGATGGAGAAGAGAAGAAAGATCGGAGCGAAGACGATGAAGATCACCGTCTTCAACCTCACTACCCAAACCCATCTTCTTCATTTCTTCTTCTTCTTCGTTCTATTCTATACAATCTCTCTCTCTCTGCTTATTTGAATTTTTCGCCAACGCGGGATTGCACCAAACTACGTCGTTTTCTTGGGTTTTCTATTGGACTTTTCGGCCCATAAATTTGTTTGGATCACGACTCCTTCGATGAATTAAATAATTTTAAATCCATACTAAATACATTAAAATGATTGTATTTTTTTTATGGTTATACATTATTTATATAAAATAATTTGCACGTTAGAAATTTATTAACCAAGATTTCAAATAAATTTCTTTATTTTTAAGTTAAATGGGTGTAGGCATGAACAATCAGTTAAACATACCACTATACTATTGTAAATACCACAACTTATTTAATGAATTTTACTCCTAGTTTTTAGAATTTTGAATAAATTTTAATCAATAAACAACATAAAATGTATAAAAAAAATATATTGCTGTTTTTTTTTCTCTTTCCCAATACTGTAAATTTTGTTTACACACAATTATTTATACAACGCGCCATGAAAGTAGTAAACATTACACGTCTCTCCATGAAACCTAAGACAATGTTATACGAACAGAAGACATAGAAGGAATCAAAGAATATAACATAGTTCAATGTCGAATTACAACTTATATCATTACAAATCACAGAACAATAAATTCTCAGATCCTTCCTTAGCTTCGTTATCACACTCTAAAATACATCCAAAATTTTCTACACAAAAATCAAGGTATGGCCCATAAGACATTAAGCAAAATAAATGGCCAAAAATGGATATTGACCGACATGTTCCTGTTCCTATGGATCCATCACTATCATCAACCACCCAAAAAGGTATAGAGCTGGATACAGAGAAAAAAAATGAAAAAGAATGAATCTGGTTGTGTAAACTATCTTCCCTGAACAAGGCCACTGAAAACCTGGCTATTTCCAGCAAGAGTTGCTTCCCATTCAACAGAAGACAGAAGAATCTGTGAGAGGGAAATCACTACTTGTCTCATATCAGGTCGTAAGATGGGGTCCTCATCCACACATTGCTTTGCCAGTGTGGCCAGCTAATATAACATACACCAAAAAAACAAATGAGTACAAAAGTTAAACTTCATGCAATGTTATTGATATTACAAAGTTGCATGGATTACTTAATTCGGATATGAAAATATCTATTCTTTGAGGTTTTAGCTGCAGAGTCTTCAATTTTCTGGGTTAATAGATCCAAGATATCCAAAATGAGAAAAGGAGAAACTAACCTTAAATACACAATCATGGGGATACAAATCCATCATATTTGGATCAATATAATCTCTCAAGCTTGACATGCTCATGGAGTCAGGTGAATTCCTGAGAACACCCAGCATCTGCAATTTAACAAACATCAAGGGTATACCCCAGAACACAGTTGCAATGGTAAAATACAAGAACTTTTAATAAGAAGAAATAAAGAGGTTATGGGTAAAAACATGCATAACATAACCAACAAGTGGCATTGCTGAGAAAAACATGTATCCAGCAGTCGGAGCTATAAGGTTGGCTTGGTAGTAAAAATTGAAAGGAAAGATGGGTGAGGTTATGGGTTCAACTTCTCCCACTAACATTTGAGGATATAAGTTTGGTTTGAAGGATTTGGAAGAGACAGGAAGAGAGATTGTGGATTCAACTCCTTCCACTAACAAAAAACTAACAAGTAACATTTGTCGATCAAAGAAAAGAAACACATGCAGCAGCCAAGTTCCGAGAAGCCAGAAAATTATTCAATAGTGTAACATTTTGAACATAAATCTCGGTGCTCTATATGTATGTGTTCCTATATGTATGTGCTCACACAACAAATCTATGTGTTCTATATATATGTTTTCATTAGAGAACAACTCAACCATCTCAGTAGGTTGACATAGTAAGTAATTGCAGATTAGTTAATAACATGAATCACTTTTCTTATAATTTATAAATTTCAAATATTATATTGCATATATTGCTCAGGACTTTTTTATTTATTTTTGGGGCAAGGTGCTGGGGAATACAATCTA